TCACATAGAGCTTATTTGTAGGGAAGGTGCCCAGCAGCAGGGATGAGGAAGATGCATATGCTGAAAGCACTGGCCAAGCCCTTGCAGGTGATTGCAGGACACAGCTCTGAGCACGTGGTGCAGATGCTGGAGTGCTGCCCACATCTGTCTAGCCATAATCTGTGTCTGCATTTTCTCTGTCATCTGTGTGTCAGAAAACAGGCATGTTCTTGCATGAAACCAGAATGGGATGAGGTGGTCATAGGTGTTCATTCACGGTTTAATTTGAAGGCCCCATGGTGTGCTGTAGAAAAGGCAAATGCCAAATGTCCTGTTCTGTGTGCATGGTAGATGCTGAGCTGCCTAATGAAATCAAATTCATGCCTTAAAAGAAGCTCTACAAGTTGTACTGAAGGTGACACTCTGCAAGTATTGTCACTGGGGACAGGGTGTCAGCACTCAGTAGTGTTTGAGAGAGATTGGCAGGTTGCTGGGGGCACTTGGTGCCATAGGTGACCAGGTGTCAAGCTCTGCACTAGGGTTAAGCATGAATTTTTCTGGGAGTCCAGAGTCTGGCCCTTGGTACACCATTTGGGCAGGGGACTGTGTGGGGCCATAGGCCTGCACTGAGCCCCAGCAAGACTGGTGAACTGGCAGTGCAGACCCCAGGCAGGTTATCAGGCTGTGAGGGGTCAGCCCTAGGCTTGGCCACTCGCTGTCAGGCTGATTCACCTCAGCCCTCACTCGTATCTGTGCTGCCTGGAAAATGCTCCTGTGAGAGAAGTTTTGGTGGGCTGCACAGGCGAGCTCCCTGCAAAGCTCTGGGTCTTGCACAGCCACCACCACCGCATTGCTCTGGCTGCTGGAGCAGCTTTTCCTGGGATTTGGTTTGGCGTGAGGACTTTTCTATTTAATTCCAGTCGTCCTGAAGGATTTTCCCCAGTTTGAAGTTTCATCATACGCACTGCCACCTCCCCAGCGGCCCTGGGAGGGACCCGGCTTGGGCACCGCCGCCAGGACGGGGGGAGCTAAAGGGGGAAGAACCTGCCTTTCTGGGGTGCGGGGAGGATGAGCAGAGTCAGAACGAAAACACAACGGAGGTGCCGGAGCTTCCGTTTACCCACCGCTGCGCTCTGACAGGAGGAGACTGCCCGACCCCG